AAAGTACTTGCAACAAATTTTTTTTAAACTAAACTATTATTAGCATTGTATAAACTAATATATAATATTTATACTACGCTTATTGGAGTAGTTGTGACGTTTGTAGGTGTTCAAGTAAAGTGATTGTCGGAGAACTAAAATGAGATTGTCTTGTCAGTTTTTTGTTCAATTTGTTCTGCTGTTTGTATATGTTGTCTTGTTCTATCCGATCCCTTTGCGACAATTACATGTCCGTAGTCCAAGAGAGGTCTGCAGATCGCTTTGCATATTTTTGTGGCTGTATTTGTGCTTTTGTATGTTAGTGAACGGAAGTGTTTTGTTCTCTTTATCTGTTTTTCTGTGTGAAATTAAGTTTGTGGTCAATTGTGATTCCAAGTATTTTACGTCGTTTTTTTTCTGTCGTTTGGCCGTCTGCAATAATTATAGGGAAGTCAGCGTTAACTCTGTGGTTGGTGAGGGGATGATTTTTTCAAGCGTTTGATGTCCATGTATGAAACCATGACATTATATTTTTCGTTAGTGTTTAAAGTATTTGCGTCGCTTTTTCGGTAGTTTTGTGGTGCACAATAAGTGCGGTGTCGTCGGCAGGTTTTAATAAGTAAGCTGATTTATCTATTTGATTTTTGTGTAGGAAAAAGTGCGTGTGCTGTCGATTCGTAATTCCAGTTGTCTGCCCTCTCATCATCATCATCAGCCTATTCTGTCCACTGCTGGACAAAAGCCTCATATTTTGCCATTCTTTCCGGTCCTGTGTCATCATCATCCAATTTGCAGTGAGTTAGGCCTGGGCAACACTGCGTTGAGTTGCGTTTTTCAGTTGGTACCGCTCTCTGAGTTAATGAGTTTTAACTCATTGGTTAATGAGTTATAACTCATGGCCGATGACGAAATTAACTTCTACCAAAACAGCCATCAACATATTGATTTGCGCATACGATTGCTTCAAACTATTTGAAAAAAACTAAAAAATTTCAGAGCGATAAGTGTGGCGATTTTTCCAAATATTGATTATATGCTTGTGCTTTCTCTGGTCGTTTTTTGAGGAACCCTTAATTTTGTCAAAAAAAAACAAGATACCTTTGTTTCGATTTTGTCCCAAATTCAAAGGTAAAACGGGAATTCGAAAAAGACGATAAAGAAGACGATGACTTTTCTTGTAAAATCCATCTTTTAACTTTATTGCGTAAAAGACTGTCAGGTTGCCAGTATTTTACAGTAAAACGTTAGGAAAGCTAACTGTTCTGACAGAGTTTTGTTTAGAAATATTGACCTAAAAGTGAAGAAACCGGAATTTAAATAAACCAAATTATTCACAGCGACAAAATTGACGAGTTTTCCCAATAATTGATTATAAACTTTCACTTGTTCTGTTCGGGGAAATATTTATGGGAAAAATTGTACAAACAATTATTAGGGTTTTGTTCAAAATTTGCAGCTGCAAAAGGGTTCAGAAAAAAGTTTRAAAAGCTGTTCAAGAGYCGAGTGTTCCAATAAAATTTATTTTATAATTTTCACARCAAATACCTGAAAATTATCRGTATTTTAAGTACAACTGAAAAATRATGCGTTTTTTGCGTAGCAAGAATTGCTTAACAGRAMCTTTGCTAAAACTGGAATGAAATCTGAAAATCTGAAATTTTAAAGAAACTTGAAAAATATTCATAGCGATRCGGCTGGMGAATTTTCCAAAAAATTTTTTGGAAACTTTTGCTCTCTGGCCATTTTTTCACGATARTCTTAATTGCTTTCGGTAAAAAAMTGAATAAAATCATTTGGTTTTTGTGCCMAATTTGAAGCCGAAAAGGATTTTTTAAAGTTCTCTGCAAATCGATGAATGAGGCGAATTTTCTGGTAAAATCAATTCAGTCATTTTTGGCTGCAAATACCCCATTATTGTCAGAAAAGAATAAAATCCTCAGAAAAGTATATTTTTTTGCGTTTTTGATTAAAAACTTTTAGTTTTGTGATCGGTTTTTGCGAAAACCTTATTAGTTTTCGGGAAAAAACGGGATAAATTTAATTGCGTTTTTGTCCCGAATTCGACTCCGAAAAAAGTTTTTGTAAAATTCCTACAAAGCTATAAATATATCTTGTATATTTTCGCGTAAGATACATCCAGATCGTTGGTATTTTTAAGTAAAACTCTGCAAAATAGAGGGTTTTTGAGTAGAAATGAGTYAAARCWAAAAACCACGTTWTTWWAWCAAACTGCCATCAGAKGAATGGAAGTGATGAGTTTTCCAAATAATTTATWATAAACTTTCGCTTATTCAGTTCTTCTTTTGATAGAAAATTATTTGATTTTTGTCGCACATTCRAAGCTGGAAGGGRATTTTAAMTTTTTGCAAAGCGACTAAGAAGGCGGGTAAAGGGAGATTTTTCACTAAAAATGCCTTAAGATTGTCAGTATTTTTAATTGATTTTTTGAAAACTGAGCARAAGAGTAACTTTGCTAAAACWRAAAAAATTCTGAAATTTTGAAGAMACGTCTTTGTTGRSKCTGGGCCACRGGACCCGCCCAGTTCCACTTCATACGCAAAATTAATTAATATATAATAGTGGCGCAAATAAATTAATAGTGGCACTTCAATTTTGGAACCGTCTACACATATACGGTGATATTTTTATTAAAAAATGGGGAGCTAAGAATATTAAAATAAATCGCCCAGTATTTATTTTTTTATCTGATTATCTGAAATGTATTGAAAATTGTCGTTTGGGATTAGGTTTAACAGGAGCGGGCTATGAAATATATCACCTTTTCTCCTAATCATATAAAATACCATAAATAGTTACTTAAGGTGATGATATTTAAACTCGACACTAGATCGGCAAAAATTTGTCGCGGACAATTTTGGCAAAATTTCTGGATTCATTAATGATCACTTGTGTTTTATAAAGAAACTATTAAACTTAGTTTAATATCGAATAAAAAATTATTACCTGGCCTAGCAAAATGGGCAAAAATTCGTTATAGGTGATATGCTGTATCTCAGCGCTGACAATTCTTTTGCTCTCATAAAACAGAACCTCGTCAGTCCAGTGGCGATTTAAAGCGGCCAACGCAACAGCTACTCTGTTGTGCTCCCTCAAAATCGCCGAATGCAGTACGTTTAGCTGACAAGTGCTGCACGCTGATATATTAACCAATCCTGCATCGTATGTTCTTAATTTTTCCACACTATCGCGGGTGACTCCATATATGGCAGACCCTTCAAGGAACGACGAAGCCAAGTTGATTTGATTTCTGTATTCTGAAAGAAGAAAACATTTTTTTCATGAGCCCCTGGTGGAAAGTACTTACTTTCGTCACTGTTTTCGATTGCAAAAGCGTCACTTGTACCCATTACAAATTTTCTTCACCCCGTGTGGAAAGTAATAACTTTCGCCACGCACGCTGAGCTGACTGTCTTGACAACATTTTCAAAGCGTTTTTTTTTACACTTTTACTTTACTTTTCCCGTCTAGTTTCCACCGAGGATCAAGAAAAACAGTATACGGTACGCGAGACGAAAGTTGAAGGCTCTCCACTGCGCCCGAGGCGAAGCCAAAGGCTCTCGACTTCGTCTCGGGTGTCAAACGCAGTCGTTCGAAAAACTGCACTTCTCGCCCTTGTTTCAAAAGCTACTATAATTGTTTGTAACACTTTTAAACGGGCAATTTTTATCTAATCTTATTGTGGCATGCATTACTGAGGGGTTGAGCTTTTTTCAAACTTTAAAACATATTTCTCAGGTTACTTATAAAAATATTCAAATACCATTCAACCGGATCTAATTTTGTTTTGAATGCACGCCAACTATGCGAGATATTTCGCATATGAAATGTATGACTTTTTGATTTTGAAACAGAAATCTGTATTTTCAAAGTTGGATTTTCAACGGTTTGTATAAAACGGGGTTTGAATTTTTGAAATTGTTTTAGTAGCTCAGAAAAAAAAATTTCACTGAAAACTACCGTTCGTTTATCAAATTGGATAATTGTATTTAAATAATTAATAGCAAGTCACCGAAAATCGGATGCTATCATGTAAAAAGCAAAAATATATGGGCCTTATGATTTGAGGAAGAATGTCCTCAAGTAGTAGAGGTAAAGCGCTTTCAAAAACGCGCACTACATGTTATTGTCCATGTTCATGTCTAAGAAATATGGCCCAATAACTTCACTATTCCAAGTCAAACTTTTTGAAGATTATTATTTGATAAAAGGTTTTTCGAATAGCATAAGAGATTATTTTTGAAATTGTCGAAGCCATCGCTTGTAAATGTAACTTCGTCGTAACCGTTCATAATCTCAATTCGTACCGTAATCGTCTAATCGTCCCAGAATTGGCCTCATTTCCCTGCTCTAGTGAGATATTGATATAAAAAATGTTCTTAACAGAATTTTTAAATAATCTAATAAATTATATTGACTGCATAACGAGTGAAGCGATTGTACAATTTTTGTATTCCTGTTTCATATGATTCCTTATTATTTAGAGAATTCTTTCTTCAGTCTCCTTTCTTTAAATCTACCTTAGTAGTTCCTATCTTCAAAATATTGTAGAAAATATCGTTTCGGTTTTTCGTATGATAAAGCCTTTAAAAATGCCACCTGGTCTCTCCACTATTGGACTTACGATATTCACACGAGTCCAATTCAACAGCAGGTAAACTCCTCATATACTCCCAACACCGATTATCCTTCTGTAGCCGATAGCATTCTCCATGCGTAATCGCATCTCCTTTGCAACACTGATGATTCTTGAAGTTTGCTGTGCTAACCAAATCGTGATAGAGAAGCTCACTCCAGGCACCCAGCAGAGCAGTTACGGACTCATGTTTTCGGCTTGGAACTTGCTGAAGAATAGAGGATACATCTAGAGCATTGGGCAGCTCTTGTGTTGAAACGGACACTTTGGGTATCATTTTTCCTGAAAAAATCAACAAATGGTTAATAATGTAGTGTCACACTTCATGAAGAGTTGCTAAGATTATAAGAGTTGGAAATGTGTCGCAAAACTATGTAGTAGAAAATGCTGTTTGCAATTTTCTTTTATAATCTCTTTTTTACAAACTATTTGGTGCCTGGGAAAGTATCAAAGAAGCTTCAAAGTACAATGCTTGTTGTTTGTTTCAATTACGCCAATTTTTAATCACCCTGTATATTCTTAAATATATACTGCAAATTGCTTTCAATGCGCAAAGTTGGATTCGATTAAATTTTTGATTTGCATATCTAAATTTGCTTTAAATTCTTCAAATGCGGTCATTTGTCAGTCCGTTAAGACAGTCAGTAATAAGTTTCGTGCTTATTGCACCAGGATTATTGGTTAACATGTGATGAATCAATTACAGTTGCATAACTATGCATATCGTAGTTATTTAGCTTTATTGATGTTTACACATAATGTGCAATTGAATAATAATTAACATGAGCTCATAACTCACAATACAACAGGTTGCTAAATAGGCAAAGCACGTTAGGACCAATCCAATCAATTGATTTATTTTAATTTGAAATAATTTATCTGATTTATTTACTTATTTTAAAAAAATGTAATAAATAAATATCAAAAAATCAGTTTTTTTAAATGGCACCTACTGACTTTTTTGGCTGCGTTTGAATTATTGTAGATGGTTCCGATACAGATGCCAACAAAACATCCAATTGTCTTCTAAAATATAATAAGACCGATATAACTCGATTTACAGATTGTGATTTGTTTAATCGACACAATTAACATCTTTGGAATCAAACAAACACTTGAACGTTGAACAAAATTAAGGAAAGTACATGCATAAAAATAAAATTTCCTGGCGCCTCGATCACCGGAGCTTTCAGTTTTGGATTTCGCTTTGTGAGGAGACGTAAAAAACAGTTTATGAAAATACATATGACAAAGTAAATGAACTGAAGTGGAGCTCTTAATTTGAGAGAATTTGAAAATATTCATGGTCGGTCTGTTAGAAAAGCAACTTAAGTTGCTTTTCGAACTATTGAATAATTCGTCAGTCTGCAAACTTCGCTATGTTTGCATTGATAATCTTGGTTGAACTTTTGAAAATGTCCTTTTTTGTGGGACAATGGAGGATGGGGCGTCAGTTTAYAGAAACCACGTAAGAGGGGTTATTAATCYATAAACCCTTAACTTGAACTGCGTTTAGTTTTTCGAGAAACATTTAAAGTTGTATTCAGTTCTCTATTTCCTTTTCTTTCCAATCAAATTCCAWCTGAGTTTTAGATTTYAATCTTATTATTATCTATTTTATATTTTTATTTAGAAATTTATGTAATACTACASAYACTTTTTTTATTTTCAGGTGGTACAATGCAGCTTTCGATAAGTTTGTWKCAWTAMKTTGCCATTGGCAGRCAGAACGTTAAAACGTTGGGTGTGCTCCTGGYCWGGCCATTTAGATTTTGCGCTGTTTTCCACATTTAAWTAATGAAACAAATTATTTTTTGCTGAACGATTGATGGTAGRAATGTTCAGAGACTGGGATCCGTCCGAATAATTGCATTTTTATTGTTTATTGCATTATTGGAAGATGAAGAAGCACGTTAAAACGTGGCCAAACCACTCGGATTTTGCGCTGTGGTCCCAAATTTAAACAAATTCCTTTTTAAATAGAGATAGGCATTCGAGGCCATTCATTAATCCAGAGAAATGTTAATATATTTAATTTATTGTCTCTGAAAATGGTTCTTGGTTGGTCTTGAAAAATGAAAAAACTGCTTATTAAGTTACCACATTTCTGTAAATAACAAAGTTCCTTTAAAATTGTTTTAAAAAAATGCTATTTTATTACGAGCGACAAACTTACAACTTAACGTGTGAATACAGAATAAAAATCGTAGTTATAATAATAGTAAGTATACAATTTTCTTACCATCAGCATAGGTTGGTGGTAGCAATCTCAAGAACGGCGTTCCCCTATTGCCCCATCGGGAGTGTCTTACATTATTGCATTCCCCAGTTGCCATTCTATATTTACTAGGCGGACAAGCAATCTCATCTCCTAAACTGCAATTTATGGGTGGACTTTTTGAAGCTACGGGATCTCCTTCCCGGATAAAAGCATTTCTCACAATCTGCTTTATATCATCTGGTAATTTGTTGGTGTAAGAAAAGATGCTTTTTTCGGTTTGTCGCCCATCTGATTGAACAGCGGTGAGCAAAGGAAGAAACCATATGAGCCACAATACTTCACACCTATAAAACAAAATAACCGTTAAAAGGTGCGCAAAAAATATGTTCGGAATAAACGATCGGTATATTACAACAATAAATGCAAATCAATAGCACAATAGCAAAAGAAACAAAACAAAAACAGTCCCTTCAGCAAAGGGTGCAAATATTTGGAGAAAACAGCACTTACGTAAGTGCTATTATTGGTCATGGCATTGAGACGAAAAGCCAATGAATTATTCTTCCATCTCCAATCAATGTATTCCTAAAGGTTACAAATTAATAAAGTTGTTTTCATGTTGATATCTGAGTAATATGATATTATTTATTTCAATCATCATCAGCATTGAACTGGGAACAATAACTTGATGTTACAATGCATAATCGAAGTGCAAGTCACCGGGGACAAAATATTAAGAGAAGCAAAGAATATTTTATATTTATTTGATGTAGATATACAGGGTGATTCATTAAGAATGGGAAACACGGAAACTGGGATACTACAGGTCAAATGGTGGCCATTGGCGCAAGACTACTTTATCCGAATGTCGATATTTTTGTGACATAAAATTGAGCTCAAAATCTAAAACAGCATTCAGTTCTGCATGCATTTAGTATTCCTGTTTATATCGTGTTTTTATATGTAGATATTTTGGTCCGTTTACGCAAAAAATGGATGCAATGTTCAACAACAGCAGTTTGCACTAGTAGCCAATATTTCAGAGACAATATATCATCTTTTTTCTATAGAAGCAAGTACAACATGACTAAAAGTTTTGTATATTGTGTGACACGTCCAGGACTAAATAGCTGTTGTAAATTTGAAAATGCCCAATCACAACCAGTTTGCCAATCAAGAAATAAGAGACATAATAGGTCTTTTTGCACAAGAAAATTTCTGTCTTGTGCAAAGTCTCCCTAAAAAGCATTTCTGTTGAGCCGCAAGAGGAAGTTATATTTAGAGTTGAAATGAGCTGAAAATCCAGTCACACGTACTCGTATTGAAGTACTGAAAAAGGCGTAACTCAGCTCACAGTTTAGGGAATTTCGAAAAGACAAAAACTACATTCATTTTGTTTTACACCTGTACAGAATTTGCCTCGTTTACGTTATGCCCGTTTTCTACAAGATCAGCAAACCAGGGATGGAACTTTCTTAGAGAAACTTTTGTTAACCGATGAGGCGACATTTCCAATGTTTATCAGTATCTTGAATCAATCGATGGAAGAAGTGTGTGTAAAAATTGGACTGGAGAAATAAAAACAGCAATATGTGGATTAAACTCTATAGTTTATGAGTTTATATCATACTCCGTAACCTCAGTAACACTCACTAAACTTTTCACAAGTTTTACTGTCTTATATCGTATTTTAGCATCCGATAATACATTTGGAAAATTCACCTACGTATTATAATGCGTATTTTAAAAACCTCAAATGTATCATCAATAACATTTTGGATTTGTTTTGTGTGGAAATAATTGCTGACTTTCAAATTTTGTGTACCAGGTGAGCAAATAAAAAGTGCAATATTTTTGAAGCAAAACACGGGATCAGAAGGACCTTGATTTGCTGCTAGACATAATTGTCGCTTTTAACGTTCATCAGAATAAATATAAAACTAAAATCTCTCGTTTTGATTACCGTTAATATTGACGAAATAACACCTTGCAATGTGTTTATTGAAACGTTACATTTTATTAAAATGATAGGTACCTACTTAATAAAAATTTTGGTACAAAGAAATATTTTATTCATTTATGTGCCTCTTACTGCGTCATTCAACCCAGATATCCCCGGCCAATTTTTCATAATTTTTAAACATTTGATTGATTACACTACGCAGTTTTGCACCTCGATATTCTTGTTTTCCACGCCGGGTTTTCCGTGCTGGTATAGTAATGTGTGCTTGCACACCACGTGTGAAAAATCATTTCAATTCACTTAAAAAACTTTGGATTTACTGTTGACCTTGCAACTAAAATTTAAAATAATAGAGATAATTTGCCATCATCACTGAAGCCTTGAGAACTGCATTTTAAGATGCGTCTTTTATTTAATGTCGTTTGCCTATGTCGGTATGTAAAACGGTCTCCAAAAATTAACTTAAAAGTCGTGTAAACCCGTCACAAAAAGCAATTTATTTATTTTAACGGTAACATCAGAATGTCCGCTGATCGAGTATCCTAATAATTGTAACACATGCGGATGGTACCAAAATGAAAGTTTTATGCACGTTACGAAAGGTGCAATCAAATATACTCTTATCACGTACAACTAGAATTACGTAAGCCAAGCAATAGGTATCTTCCTATTAGAATATCTATAATAAATTTGAATGCCCTCATTATCAGTTTTAGCAGTATAAGCGATTTTCTAAACTGAGGAGCGGGTTATATGCTATACCGAGTGATTCAACTGGTGTTATTCCCTTTAAGGGGTCACTAGGACTTACTTTCTGGAGGAAGTTAGCCCTTTAAGACGAAATTTGCTTGGTTTATACAAATTTTCTATTTGGATTAATTAGGTGTCTATTAATTTATGTTAAAACCACAGCAGGAAGCATGCCAGGCAGATGTTATTAACAATCATGTCAACCCCGATGCCGTTGATATCAACGGTAGATCTGTGGGTAGTTTTTAAATTGTGGTCTTCGACGTTTTAAATGTTTAACGATTTCGGCAAATGCAGACGCTTTTATAGTTTTTGGGGACACCGAATGTGTATCACAAGCAAACACATTCTCGTGAGAAAGCTGCAGTGGCCGAAATCTGCGAAAGATTTCACAGTTCAATTGCTGATTGCTGAAATCATATGTAAAGACGCACACCATGTAATCCAATTAAAGCCCATCCAAGTTCGATATATAAATTACTGAGGAAACATATAAAGATATCTTCCCAAACCAAGAACTACTTTTTGGAGGCAATAAAATTATCTCGTCTATCCTCTATTTTTAAAATATTTTATTTTGTAATAGAGTGCTTATAAAATATCCACAACGGGTGAGTTATTTTATTGGTCTGCCCGATCGTTAGGTTTGACGCCGTGCAATTTCTATTGATCGGTTACGTGAAAAATGTTTATGTTACACCAACGACCCAAATGATATGAAGCAAAGAATTATGTATGTATTTAATGAAATTTCCAAGCAAACACATTATTACATTTGCGCACCTAAAGTTTCTTTTGAAAGTTAGTTAAATAAGTTTAAGTTTACGAAACTACATGCATAGTAAAATACAAGAAAAAAATTGAGAATATGGATTTTTTAGAAGTTTGAATGAAAACAAGCAAGAGGCTATTTAAAAAATATGTATTGCTGTACTTTGTACCGCTGTTATGAGCAACCTTGTGTGATGCTTTGCTTTTGAGAAAACTAGTAAACCTGCACACATCGAATTTTTATTTCAAACTAATTTTGAATTTCCATATCGTCTAAGAATATGAGAGTGTTGCCTTTCGTAAACACCCTGTATCCTTTGTAACGTGGTGCACCCATAATGCGCAACATATTTTTTCTCAATTAATAGCAGTATGAAATGTTTAATTAATTTGCTTTTTGTCGGTCTTTAATTGTTAAAATCGGAATTGGCTGATTTGCGTCTAAAATTTACTTTGTTATATTATATACTTCATGTACCTATTTCCTAATCCAAAAATTTGAAAAATTGCAATCTCCGAAAAGACCAATTTTGTGGGATTCATAGAGCAAACGTTAAGCATACCATGAAGCCGGCATTAAAAAAGATTACACTTTTTCTTTCACACTGAATAAGAATTAAGTAAGCAAATAAGGTATGCGTTACAATTAGATCAAATTGGTGAAAGTTGAAATGTTGTATAAATGTGAATTTTGTGCTGCCGTAACAGACGGATGATTTAACGTAATTATCGCTGTACCTCGATAAATAATCATGACGACCCTTGAAAAACTATCTAATAATAATCTAAACCGGATTTCATGGCTAGAACATATTGAATACTAGTGGAGCTTCATTAGGCTTACTGGATTTTTAATACCAGTATAACGGATTCATTACGACACGTTGAAAACATCTAAATGGCCTAAGGACAACAAATGAAAGTGAACTCATAGAAAGTGTATGAAGTGCGGCAAAAAGTATTACAGATCGCTAGATAGTTTGCAAAGTTATTTCGGGATAGTGCTAATTCATGAAGTATTTTACATTTTTACGTCTTTATAGCTAGTCCCATTTAGTGTTAATTACATGCTTTGAGTGACGTTCATAATTGATAGTAAATATAGAAAATGTACCAAATTTAAAAATGTGTTATAACTGCATGGTTCTGAGGTGGTTTGAGTAGCTCAGTGGCCAAGTGCGAAGAAAAGCAGGCTTGCGAGGTGCGGCCAGCAATCTGCCGCATACAAATCAAGCAATTTGCTCAAAGAACAGGGGAAGGAGCAAAACTTAATATTTTTCAGCAAGTTTTACAAAAATTTGAAAACGATTATAATTACGGGTAGCTACCGGGTTCCATTAAAAGCACATCAAAAGAGAGATATGTGCCTTGTCGGAGACAAACAAAAGCATTTTCGAGATATACAGTTCATTTTCATATATACCGGAAAATTAAGGGAAAAAGCACCGTAGGTATACTATGTTTAAGTGATAAATCGCGGCAAGCTACATTTAGGTTTACCTAAACAACTAAAACACAAGCAATAATAAAGAATAAATCGCAAGACATGTTATTACAAATGGATATATTTACTACCGACTATAGAGGGTCGCACGTAAGGACCTGAAGATAAATAGCAGACCCGCGAAGTCATTGAAGAAAGAAATATTAAAAAGCAGCTGCTAATGAGAGAAAAAATTAACGTTTAATCCATTGCGGATTATTCCAAAAAATACCTTCAAGATCACTGAAACAAAGAGGCGAAATTAAGAACCTGAAAGATGATGAGAAACAAAAACCGATCTTCAAATCATTCTTCTTTACTACAAAGTCATCGTACTTTGCTACATAGTTATCAGAGTATTTTGAATGAATCCTTATTAGATATGGAATGAGAATTTAAC